CAAGAATCAAGAGCACTTGCTGATTGACTGGATAAATACAGACACACCCCTACTCTCCTTTCCTTACTCTGAGATACTGAGGGGATGAACTAGGAATAGGGCAGGCAGCAGACAATTTGAGATATGTGTTAGCTATTGATAGGGCCAGGGAAAGGTTGCACACAGTTGTAGTTCCAGCTACTCAGGAGGCTAAAGTGGGAAGATCATAAAGTAAGGAAAGGAGAGTAAGGAAAGGAGAGTAGGGGTGTGTCTGTATTTTTATGAGTGTTAGAATATTCCACGCTCTACCTTTCCCTTTTCCTCTTTCATTTGCTGTCCTTGGGATATAGTCCTTTTCTCCAAGTTCTCTGTTTGGTTGAGGGGAGCTTGGGAGTAGGGGGATGGTTGTGTCAGATAAATAACTGAATTTGAGTGTTATAATACTATATGAAGAACGGGGCACTGTCAGGACTCATTGGTCTCTTGGTAGTCTCCAGGGGGAAAATGGTGAGGGGATTTAGAAAATAAAGGCAAAAGACAAGAGCTGATGTCAGGTGGAGGCCTCTTACTGGATGGAAAAGAGGACTGAACAACAACAGTAGGGCATTTATTTATACTTTTGCAAGGTTAGTATCATGAGACACAAGGTTGCCTAGCAACTAATGACTGAAATTGTGTAGGCAGGATGTTTTTCTCAAAAGTGAGGTAGCTCGACTGCTTGAGGCACTCTGGCTTTATCCTGACCTCACACATATGACCAGTTTCCAGCTCCAGCTGCTCCCAACAAGGCACGAGATGGGGAGTAGTCCATTCTGTCCGAGCATGGGGGTGGGGGAACCAGGAAGGGCAGGAGTGGAATTTATCCAACATAATTCCTCTCTACTTCCCCTTAATAATACTATGGGGAGTCCCTGTCTCTTTAGGGACTCTGGCTCTGTTCAGCCTTCATTATCTTCTCCTAGAAAAGATGGTCCCTACCTGGTCTGTGTCTTCAGCTTACTCTCTACAACCCACATTCTTTCCAAATTAATCTAAGCAAAACCACAGTAGCTCCCACATTGCTCCCTTGAAAGGTAAAGTTTTAACTTTTGCCTGTTTAATTCATTACTTTTTGCCAGGCATCTAGCATAAAGGAATCTACATATTTGTCAAAAGAATGAGTACTGGGCCCACCAACATTTGGTCCTTGGCTCTACTTCCCCATTTTTGTAGTCTCCAGTCTTGCATCTTTAATCAAAGACTTTCAGTCTCCTGAATTCTATTCTGCTTCAACAACAAGGGTCCTATGTTGAGGGAAAATCTATGGACTCTTGGACAATGTAAAAGTAAATGGAAGGATTTGGTATGAAAAGGCCAGGATTTTATTTGTTATGGGTTTGATAAATTTCATGGGAGATACAATTACTAAATGAAACTTCAAACCGCTTTGAAAAATTTTTCTTATTTGTTGGGTGTGGTGGCATGCTGCTGTAATTCCAGCACTGAGGAGGCTGAGCCAGGAGAATTGCCACAAGTTCAAGGCTAGCCTGGGCTACACAGTGAGTTCAAGTCCAGCCTGCACTACATAGCAAGGCTCTGCCTCAAAAAACAAAAACAAAATGAAACAAAACTATTTATTTGTATCCTATGATTTAATATTTGTTTTCCCTGCTGAGCTTTAACCTATGTGGGAACTGAGAAATACCATGAATTGAGCGTTAACCATAGATGGGGATGGTGTCAAGCATCTACCATTATCTAATAAAATCTACACAACATTTGGAGACAGTATGCCCTTATTTTCTTTCTTTCTTCTTCTTCTCTTTCTCCTCCTTCTCCCCCTGCTCCTCCATCTCCTCATCCTGCTTGTCCTTCTTCTCCTTCTCCTCCTCCTCCTCCATCTCCTCCTCCATCTCCTCCTCCTGCTCATCCTCCTTCTCCTCCTCTTCCTCCTCCTCCATCTCATCCTCCTCCTCCTCTTCCTCCTCCTCATCTTTTGCTCTCTCTCTGGGATTGAACCCAGCCAGCATCAGATGACCCACATTCTTGGCTCCTCCAAAATTCTGGGGTCTCCAATGCACCTTCAGCTTCACACTCACAGTTTCTCATACTGTCCTTGCAGGGATACATTGCTTGGCCTCCTAGGCCTTCTTCTAAAATCTGGGTGGAAGCCTTTCTGACCCCACAACTTTTGCATTCTGAATGCACCTAAAAGCAGCACCACAGGGATGATGCCAAGTTCTACTGCCAGCTAGAGCAGTAGCTAGGCTCCTTCTCTTTTGGCTGTAGGGGTCAAGTGCCTATGAACATAATCCCAAGAGCAACTTCCCTTGGGCTCCTCTATTCTGGAATGCGGTGCTCTGTGGCTCTCTTCTCAAAGCAAAGTCTTTCACGTTTGCAATTTTGAGGCACCAAAAGGTGGAGTCCTGCTGGTTTCAGTGATGCCCTTAGCCCATTTTTTGCATTTTCCTCTTCTGAAATACTTAACTATTTCTTGCTAGACTTCCCAATGACTAATTTCTCCTCTATTTTCATATTTTGAGGCCACAGCTTTACTAGAGCTTCCAATCTGCCCAAACTCAAAATGTTTTAAATCATTCTACTGGGCTCTTTGCTACTGATTTGCAAGGTAAATCTGGCTAAAATCCCCCAACAGTAGCTATGCCATAGCCTCACCATTAAACCGCCTTAACTTTTTTTTTTTTTGGTGGCAAAATTCCCTCTGTAAGTTGAGAATAAGACCAGCTGGAAGAACAAAAAAGCTGATATACTTATAAATTTGGACTCAAAAGCCTACCTATTTCCATGAAGGGAAATTATTTTCAACATACAGGAGGTCATGGTTACATGACCTGTGTTCCAGTTTGCATCAACAGGGCTTCCCATTTAACCTTCCTTTTCTACATATTCTCTTTAGCTGACCTCATTCTTTAATATGGTTTAATGCTATCTATAACAACCATGAGATGTGCATCTTCCTTTAATAACTGATGCTGAGCATCAGGACTTTGGATCCATTTACTAAGTTAATAATGCTAACTGGCATTTATTAATAGAATTTTCAAAAGTATTATGTCATCTCTGTGTTCCCCTATGAATGTCTTCTTTGTCTGAATCTTCCCCTTCTCAGTAAATTTACTTATTTAAAGTAATTAAGTGCCCATCCACTGAGGAAGGAATATAAGAGTTGTGGTATTTTTATACAATGGAGTATTACTCAGCTATTAAAAAAGATAAAATTGAGGCTTTTGTAGGTAAATGGATGCAACTAGAGAACATACTCATAAGCAAAATAAATCAAACCCACATGTGTAAACATCATATTGTCTCCTTGGTGTAGGAACCTGAAAGACTAGGTATAACTCAAAACGTACAATAGATGATAGGAAAGGGAAGAAATTGCTCAAAGGGAGGAGCAACTGGGATGAGGGACGAAGAAAAAAGAAAGAGGGAAGGCAAAACATAAGTATATATATGAATATCTGTGATGACTGTACTGCTGTTGTCTGATGGTGTATTGAAATGAACAGTTAATGCTCACGATTTTTTATGTTCTGATCGACTTTGTGTGCTTGTGTCTGGTGGTCTGAGCAACTGATTTGAAGGTAACAGTATGCAATGGAATTACATCTTGTCTAGTGAAACTCTGTATTATCTCTAAGGTTTTATTGAAGAATTATCTTCTTCTTCTCTTTAATGGTCTGAGAAATCTTTCATTCTTACATCTGATAATCTGAGCAATGTAGCAGAGGATAGTGATAGGCAATGTAACAACCACTATTGATTTGTATTACTTTGTCTTGAGACCCTATATCACTTTGAATGTTTTTGCTTTGATTTGTTTATGTTTGTGGTACTGGTATGCTGCTACTGTTCTATTTTTTTGTTTGTTTCTCATGTACTACTCTCTTTAAAATAAAAAAATAAAAAATAAAGTAATTAAGTTTATTGGTACACTGTAGATGTACATAATGATCCCATTCATCAATTAAATTTATTTTATAAATAAAATTATAATTCCATTCATCCTTGTTTTCAGTTAGAAACTTTGCATTCTCATCTCTGCCATATAATGCATGACTATATCTTCCCAATTCCACTTAATTTATTTTGAATATGTCCATTTTTTCTTCAGGGTAAGGTGATTTATTTCCCTTGAAATAAATAGCAATAGACTTATTATAAGACAATATTTCCTTTTATGTGTCTTCATATTCCCTGTATCACACAGCAAATATAATAACTATTTTTAAAATGTAAATTAGAATATATTTATAGCTTACCAATAACTTCCTCTACATTTTGAATGAGACTGAAATACTTTTCCATGACTGCTGGGTTCATCAATATGCAATAGACTACTGCACTTTGATCACTGTCTTTGAAATTAGTAAGATGTTAGATTTGAATTCCATCTGTTTCTCTTAGATGGTGACCATATAGGATAAAATATATTATGTTTTAAAAATATTTTTCTGCTTTAAAAAATCTAAAAACAAGGACAATGTATGCTAAATTCACTAATTCTTTCCACCATGAAAAAAAAGTATCACAGTGTATCCTTTTATTGAGATGAAATAAGAAATGTACATGCTATGACATGTTTTAACTGATTTGTATATCCTCAAATTCTATAAACTATAATAAACATGATATTAATTATTATAGACTTCTGTGTATGCAATGTTATTAATACTTAATAAATCAAGACAAAATTTATTTTTCCCCAAATATGTTGCTCCTTTTCACCCTGTTTTTGTTTTGAATACACAGATATTCAATTTTAACTTTAATGCCATTGAAATATGTCCCAGAAAATTTTTGTATAAAATAACATGATCAGATATCCATAATAAAAATTTCTTTATTCATTGCTACATATGATTAAATAATGAGTAAATAAAAACTATTCACATTGATTTAGTACATATTTCCAATATATCAGGATGTTCACATTTAATCAAAGTATTTTTTCTAAACCTCTTAAAATTATTTTTATGAGTTAATTATCCAAAGCAGAATTAAAATATTCAGAGACATGCTTCAATTTTCTTGATTTTATTAAAAGCCAGTTCTAGGTCTACTTGCTTTTTTTTTTCTTTTTTAATATATAAATGGTGGCACTTAAAAGAAGGCAAATAATTGCAACAGAGCCAACCACCACCAACACCAAGGTAGGAGTGTTAGCCCCAGGATGTCGATGACCTTCATGGGGACTAGGCTCTCCCAGGGGAATGAACAAAGCTACTTGTGCAATATTGGATACTTTTGATGTCAGATTACTTTTGTCTACACTTTGAATGGCAATGAATAAATGGGTTGAATTTTCTTCTGAAATCTTTCCTGGCTTAAATGTAAAGGTTTGCTTGGAGTTGGCCTCGTTTGGTAACAGATCTGTAGTGTTAACTTGAAGAGCATCTTCAAAATGGTCTCTTAGATCAAGGACACTTCCACTGATTCTTATGGTATACTGTTGAACTAAGGAAAAAAATATATGAGAAATTTAGGAACTGTAGCATACCATTTAAATTCTATTCTGTTTACTCTTCTAAAATGATGAGTCATACAAAGCTGATATTCATATCTACACCATTATCTACATTTTGATAAATGACATCAATTTGCCAACTACTACCTTAAGGAAAGGAAAGGTAAGGAAAGTTGGGACAATGTTGAAATGTGTCATGTTTGACTCAAAGTATCAGATTATGAAATTAATATCTTGCTGCTTTGTCAATTTAAAAGTGTTCTCCTTTTACCTTTGATTTTACAAAGAACACTTTTCATTTATAACCACAAAGCACTTCGCCCTTACCTTTTCCAACATCAAAATCATCTCCTGGTGCTGTCCATGTTAGGCAGACTTCATCCCCATGAAGTGTGGCATCAAGGTCTCTGATTTGATTTGGTGGGTAAAGGTCAGTGACGGGAAGAGGTGGAACTTGTGATATCACAAATACACCTCCAGATACTGTTCTGCTGAAACTCTCCAGGATTGGCTGAGTGTCCTCATCAATTTTGGGGTTCAGTACATTCTCTTCAATTTTCCCTGCATTGAAAATTCCTGGTTTTTAATAGGTACAGCAGTACTTGTATTTTAAAACTCAATGAATGGAATTATCTATCCCATGTGTCATTTCCATATATAGTCATAGTCAACAGCTAAGATAGTACAGAAGGAAAACTATATGGTAAAAGTGTCACCTAGAGATACTTTTCAAAGATAATAAAAGATTTTAAAGATAATAAGAATTACTCATTATTTTAGAATATTTCAACTCTAGAGTATTTTGTCACACAAACTATATAGTTAACTTGGTAATTCAAAAACTGCGCATACATAGGTGTGTTTCAGGAGTTATGAGTTTCTGATACCATGAGCAGCTCTCCTCTGCCATGCATCTCTGCCTTGGAGCCAGCTGGCTATGGACTGAAATGTGAGTGGATGTCAGGTATTTTGTCCTAGAAACAAGAAAAGTGACTAAGACAGATTTTGGTACAGGATTAGTGGGGCTGTTGCTGTCACTACTTGGCCATGTGGTTTAGAAGCTTTTGGAACTGGTTCTTGGGAGGAATTAAAGGGTTTGGAAATGACTGGTGGAGAAAAAAAATCCCTAAAATGAGATAAATCAAGCTTGATCCCCATTCTGGTCATATCTTAGATGACTAAAATGCTCAGAGAAATGCAGATGATAATGACTATGTTCAAGAGGCTTCAGTTAGGAAGAAGAACTTCACTGACAGTTGGACTCTAGGTCATGTGTGTTATACTCTAACAAAAAATTCATCTACATTTTGTTCATGTCCTGGGACTTTGCAGGAGACTAAGATTCAGGGTGACGGATTAATCTGGTGGAGGAAATTTCAAGACCTCTCAGTGTTGGGGCTGTGAGATGAATGCTTTGGGGGATTTTAGCCAGGCATATAGTGAAAATCAAGAGCAAAAAGCCCATTTAAAAAGTTTTCAGTTTTACCAGAAAGAAAGTGCCTGCAAAGATAGACAGAGGAGAACTTGGTTATTGAATATTAGCATTAAAAAGAAGCCAAGTACTTTGCATCAGGACAACAGGAAGAATAGGTTCAGGGCATGTCAGGAATCAATAAGAACCCGCCCTCCCTGACCCTCCCAGGATCAAGGGTGCAAGGCTGTAAAGTTTTCATTAGAGAAGAGAGCCTGGGACACCATGTTGGAGAAGGGCCACATAGAAAATTGGTTCCCTGGGATTCAGTTCACACTCCAGGCATCTGGAGACTTCTTCAGCCCCCATTCAAGGGGTCCAGGTACTGTTTGAGCTGGCAGCAGACCTTGGTGTCATCCACGTGGTCCTAGTTTTACATTAACTGGTAACTAGTGATGATTACACAGAATGCAAGAATTATGGGATCATGGAGGCTTCCACCTCAATTTCAGAAGTCTGAGAAGCCAGGCAGTGTGCCCGAGATGGCAGTGTGTAAAATGATGAAAGTGAAGCCAAAAGTGCACAGGAAACCCAGAGAATTGGAGAAGCTAGGAATATACATTAAGGAAAGCCACAAAGAGTGAACAAAGCCGGCTTGTGAGAAGGTGTGAGGGCTGCAACCACCAGCAGTGCTGCAGAGGCACGGCCACTCAAGCTTTTTAGAGTTTACATCTGCCCTGGCTGCTGGACATGGAACTACAGGATTTAATGTTTGCCATGCTGGATTTCAATCTTGCTGAGGTCTCATTGGTTTCTATCTTCCTTTGAAAGGAGACTGTTTATCCCATGTCATGGTATGTTAGCTGTGTTTAATGTTCTCTTTTATTTTTATGGGGACTTACAGGTAAGAGTTTGCTTTAATGTGCATTTCTCTAATGGTCAGAGATGTTGAACATTTTGTCATGTTTTTTCTTGCCGTTTGTACTTCTGAGAAATTTTTATTCATTGAATTTGTGCATTTCTTGATTGAGTCCTTTTTAGGTGTTCTGTTTTTAAAAATTTCTTTATATATTCTAAATATTAGTCCTCTCTCCAAAGAAGAGCTGGTTATATATTTACCCATCACTAGGTACCACTTAAAGTACCCACAACTAGTTACCCATTGCTAGTGTTTCTAGCTACCTAGAGTTAGCCATCACTAGTTGCCAGTTACTGGTCACCAGGGACTAGTTACTCATAACCAGTTGCCCACAACTAGTTACCTAAAGGTAGTTACCCACTAGTTACCCATCACCAGGTCTCTGTTGCAAGTTACCTGTTAGTTATCCAGGACTAGTTAACCACCAGCAGCAGTTACTATTTTTGCTCATTATCCATAACCAGTTACTAGTTACCCACAGCAAGTTAGCCATCACTGGTTACCTGTGATCAGATACCCACAACCAGTTAACCATCACTAGTTACCAATGACTACTCACAGCTAGTTATCTAATGCTAATTGCCCACAACTAGTTAGTTGGTGACAGTTACCAGGTCCTAATGACTAGTTACCCATGACTATGCCCATATCGAACCACTGCTAGTTACCAATTACTTGTTACCAATTACTTGTTACCACTGATAGTTACCAATTACTTGTTACCATCAACTAGTGACTCACCACTAGTTGCTGATGACTAGCTGCCCACAACTACTTCATAATTGCTGTTACCAGTCACTAACCATCGCTGATTAGTTACATGCTAGTTATCATTACTCATTGCCCACAACTAGCTAATCATTGCTAATTACCAGTGATTAGTCATTGAGGATTAGTTACCAACTAGTTATCAATTGTTAATTGACCACAATTAGTTGACCATTGCTAGTTATTGGTTTCCATTGACTACTTACACATGACTAGTTATATGTGACTAGTTAGCCATTGGTAGTTACCACTGACTACAAAAAGTTATCAATGACTAGTTGCCCACAACTAATCTCTGCTAGTTACCAGTTACCATTGAGCCCATGACTAGTTATCTGTGACCATTATCCACAACTAGTTAAGCATTACTAATTATTCATTATTGGTTACCATTGACTGGTTAATTAGTACTAGCAACCAATGACGTTCTCCCAACTAGTTAATCATTGCTAGTTACCAGCCACCATTGACTAGTTACCAAGAACTAGTTAACTACTACTAGTTAAAATGACAGCACCTATAGTCATTGCTAGTTATTAGTTGCCAGCATTTAGTTCCTCACTACTCATTGCTAGTTACCAGTTACCAATGACTAGTCTCCTACAACTAGTTAACCCTTGCTAGCTACCAATTAATGATATGTTACTCATAGCTAGTTACAATGACTAGTTACCCACTAGTTCATCACTGGATAATTGCCCAATACTGGTTAGCTATTGCTAGTTACCAGCTACCACTGACTAGTTACCCATAACTAGTCACAATGACTAGTCACCCACAAGTTAACCATTACTATTTACCAGTTACTAGTTACCAATGACTACCCACCACTAGTTACCAATGACTAGTTACCCCTAACTAGTCAGTCATGTCTAGTAACCACTTACCATTTACTAAGGGTTATTTACCAATGACCAGCTGCCCACAAAGAATTATTAGTGACTAGCTTGCCACTAGTTATCTGCTACTAGTTACCAAAGACTAATTACCAAGGACTAGTTGTTCACAACAAGTTATTAATGACTGCCATGCCGTGAGCAACTCTCCTCTAGCATGTTCATCTGCCATACCACCCTGCCTTGGAGCGGACCATGCAAGGACTGAAAACTATAGTGTGAGCCAAAATAAATGTCTCCTTTAAGTTGCTGGTGTCCAGTATTGTATCCTTGCAATGATAAAAGTAAGATAATTTTATTTTTTGCAGGGCGGGGCAAGTGTTCTGTGCTGAGTTACATCTCTATCTCTGTCAAATTTTTAGAAGAAATAATAGGAGAAAATATTACCTGTTGGTGGGTAAAGAGTTCTTAGATATGATACACATTGTTTGTTGTTGTTGCAGGTCCCTTAGGAGGCACAGACTGGGCAAGCACTCTACCACTGAGCTGCATTGTTAACCTTTATTTATTTATTTACTCAGTTTATTTTGAGTTTTTTTTTTTTTTCCTCCTGAATTGCTATTGCTAAACTGTGCTTAGTTTAAGCAAACAAAATCAGGCTTCTTTGAAAATACAGTGTTTTAATTGTGGCTAGACGACATATTTGTAAACAATGTTCCCTGGCAGATAGCCTTTGTTGATTATGTAGGATTAGTTGATAATCATTTTTCTTCCAATAAACTTGTACAGTTATATTGTCATTTATTTTACCTAGAAATACTCAGACATTCCTCTTATAAATGCCCTAACTTACTTTACAGGTGGGTCTTCCTGTGGTTTTGTATCTTACTGGACTATACAAAATCACCAGAGAATTGTTATCCTATTAATATGGGGGTGAGGATTTGCTTGTGTCACTGCAGAAAATGGACAACAGTCAGTGCCCTCTAGGAGCCTGTGATCACAGAGGAGCACCCTCCCCTGATGACACACCATGGTGGAACTTGACTCTGCTCTCCTCACCAATGAGAGCCTTCTCCCAGATGACATTAGGTGACAATAGACAAAGGCAGCCTCTATCATCTGTATGAGCTGTGGACCCCATAACATGGAGACAAATGAAGAAAACCACTCAGGAGGCAGGAAGACTTCACCATCGTCAAGTCCTGCCCAAGATGCCTGATAATCTCTTCATTGCTATCATAGCACGTACTTCTGCTAGCTTGGGAGAAGAACCCAACAATGTGTAAGACAGGTGCAACTGTACTTCCCGTTGTTTCAGCTGGTGCTATTACAAAAACCAAAAGCAAGAGATGTAGGAAACCAGATAATGAGGATTGAGGCTTAATTTATCTTCTCTGTAAGAGTTGGTGAGAGAATCATTCTTACATCATTTTCTGATATTAGAAGAAAAGCTTTTAGCTTTTCACCATTGAGAATGAAGTTAGCTGTGGGTTTTGAGTATGAATTTTGTCAAATGTTTTCTCTGTCTCAACTGAGATGACCATGTGGTTTTTCGTCATTCTAAAAAACATAATTTTTCTATATTGAATTATTGTTTCATTCCAGAAATAAGTTCCACATCAGCATGGTATATAATCCTCTTAATATACTACTGAATTTGATTTTCCAATATTTTGTTGTGAAATTTTCTACTAATATTAATAAGGAATTGCGATATCTGAATATCTGTGTTGTGTTGCAATATCTGAATGTTGTGTTTTCATATGTTGAAATAGAACACTGTAGGTGGCAGTATTAAAATGTAAGGTCTCTGGGAGGAAATTAGTTTATGGAGTGAAGCTTTCATGAATGGGATTAATGTTCTTAAAAGAGAAGCTTGATGTAAACCTTTCACCCCTTCTCCCATGTAAAGTTACAACAAGAAGATGGAGTCTACAAACCACAAAGTGGGCTTTCACCACACATTGCATTCCTGGTGCCTTAATTTTTAATTTTGCAGGTTCTAGAACTGTCTGATGCTATCTACATATTGATCCACTGGAGTTACCCCACAGTTTCTTTAGACTCTTGTTACTTCAGATGTTCCCTTTTGTTTCTCAGATAAAATACTTTTAGTTAGGGGCTAGGGATTTAGCTCAATGGCAAAAGCACCTGCATGGCAAGCGCAAGGTCATGAGTTCGATTCCTGGTACCGGAAAAAAACAAAACAAAACAAAACAAAATACTTTTAATTATCATTTCTAGTTCTCTGGTTTTTCCTTCTTACTTAAGTCTCTGTAGAGAACTTTCAATTTTGGGTATCGTAATTTTTATGTGTAGATTTCCTCGCTATGTTTTGTATTTTTTGTTTTTTGGTATTGGGAATCAAATTCAGGACCTTGCACTTATCAGGCAGGTGCTGTGCTGCTGAACTACATCCCTGGTCCATTTTCTAACTGTTGACATTGCAATTTCGTTCATATTTTGTTTTCTTGCCTTTGTTTACATCTTTGCTTAACTTTTTTTTTTTTTGGTTTTTTGGTTTTTCTCCGGTACCAGGAACCGAACTCACGACCTTGCGCTTGCCAGGCAGGCGCTTTTGCCGCTGAGCTAAATCCCCAGCCCCCTTTGCTTAACTTTTTGAACATCCTTTTAAAAGTTGTTTTAAAGTCTAATAAATCTGTCATCTAGTCTTCCTCAGAGACAATTCCTATCAATTTATTTTCTCTTTTGAATGGGACACTTTTTTTTGTTTCTTTGTGTGCCTTGTGATTTTTTTTGTTTTGTTTTGTTTTGTTTTGTTTGTTTTTTTCCGGTACCGGGAATTGAACTCACGACCTCGCTCTTGCCAGGCAGGCTCTGTGCTGCTGAGCTAAATCCCCAGCACCGCCTTGTGATTTTGTTGTTGAAAAGTAGACCTTTGGAACTTGTATAGTAACACTGTAAATCAGATTTACCCTTCTTCAGAGTTTTCTGTCCTAAAGAAATCATTGTAGAGTGCCTCTGTGACAGACATGAGACTGAAGTGTGAACTGAAGGTATTCTCAGGTCTTTTCTGAGAAATAGGGAAAATTGAAGGAGAAAAAAAGAATCTGTCTAAGACCCTAGAAAACTGTTCCAACTGGAAATGACGATAACAAAAGTGATCTGCTCCTGTTTCTACATCTCCACATGCAGAAACAGGAATCAGTCAGTAGTGAGGACAAGGTTTTATTGTTCACCTTGGCTTATGCAAACCACTCCAGGAATGTGGGCCATGTGTAATGGAACTGAAGGGGATGGTCAGGTGCTCCTGGGATAAAAGGTGAAGTCCGCCTCAATTTTCCAGAAATTACCATTGAAAGTGTGCTCTGGAAGCTACAAACTTTCAAATAGACTCTAGAGTTCCTTTGTAGCCACATGAGGGAAATTCTGTCAGCACTATTGTTCCTTAGGTGGGGTGATGGATTCCTGATACTTCCTACTCTACCATCTTCCTTGATTCACTTCCTCAAGGGGATAGCCTCTCTCTCATCCTTTCTCTCTTATTATCTTAATCCACAATTTTCCTTTTAACTTACTAAAAGCATTCCAACTAAATATTTACTTGTTTACATACATTTCACAGCATATGCAATCTGATGGATAAATTCTGTCACTTGTTTGTACTTGTTTATACTTGTTGACATAGATAAGGCACTCAGAATTACATTGATATATATTGAATATGTGCTACAGTCTAGATACTACATTAAATCTTTGATTAATTTTGGAGGCAAATCTCAATATGACTGAGATCATCAGTACAGAAATAGGAGAAGCTACATAACTGGCCTTTCATATCTGTGTGTTCTCCATCTAAGGATGTGATGAGTCATGGTCATAAGTACTTTTTAACACATTTGTCTTTATACTAAATATGTACAGACTTTTATTTCTTGCCATTATTCTCTAGAGTATAACAAACAATTAATAACATTTATATTGTATTAGTATTTTATGTAATCTAGAGATGATTTAAAGTATATAGGAGGAGGTCTATAGCTTATGCAAATACTGCGTCATTCTATTTTTTTTTTTTTTCCTGGTATCGGGAATGGAACAATGTTGTGCTTGCCATGCAGGCACTGTGCTGCTGAGCTAAATCCCCAGCCCCTACTATGTCATTCTATATAAGTTTCTTGAACATCTACAGGTTTTGGTATCCATGGGCAGCTCTTAGAACCAATCCCCTATGAATGCCTAGGGATGATTTTAGTTTGAGTGATAAACATTACATTGATATATATTGAATATGTGCTAGAGTCTAGATACTACATTAAATCCTTGAAGCAGTAATCATATCAACTCACAAATATTAATCGAGCCAACACTCTGAGTTTCTGCTGTCATGAATTACTCACCATCTACTATGCAACCTGATATATGTTTGGCTGGACTCATTGGACGTCTTAAACTTCTCATGGCAGTGTTTCGTCCTCCACAAGCCTGTACTTTTAAACTATATATTCCATTTTCTTTGTAAGATGTAAAGTACCTGGAGTAGATGCCATCATTCTTGTAAAAATCAGCACCTTATTTTAGAAATAAAGGAAGAAATTATTATTGAAAAGAAAAAGACAAATTTATGCATTTTTAAGCCAAGCATATAAAATTCATATGATTTACCCAAACAGGGCTGACAGCTCCAAACTGACCCCTTTGCTCAGAGATTATTTCCATTATGCTCTGAGAGAGCATAATATCTTGTCATGTTTGAGGTGTTATGCAATTTGTATACAACAGATATATCTGTATCTCATATATATGTATGTATAAATGCTAAATACCTCACTTTTCTGACCTTGTTACATTATATGGAGTTTATTATGATTATGCTTCTTTTTGATTTCCTAGCCAAATGTCCTACTTTCACCTTACTTTATCTAAACACATTAATTATGTTATTTCTTTTTCAAGTAAAAGGGCTCCTACTAAAAGTAATGCTAAGGATTTAATTGTCATCTAGCGAATTACATAGTACTTATTTAGATTTATTACCAATCTCTCTGTCTGTCTCAGTCTCTCAGATCTTGCTTTCCTGATCCATTAACTCTGATATTTCACACCCCAGGGATGAGTCCTCCTCGCTTGTGGCAGTTTTAGCTGTTCCTGGGCCTCAGTTCTGAGAATTGTATTTGAACTTTGTTGCAGCTGTTGGAACTACTACTGCATCTTTCCCTTTCCCTACCAGAGGCCCAGGTTCAAGCTCGTAGCCCCATCTGGCTGCTTGTGCTACACCTTCTCTGTCCAGACTTTTTCTATAATCCCCTTCTACCTCAACAAAGGAAAATTCTTGGTTCTCTCTTCACTCTCCTGAGACCTATCAAATTGGTGATAGACACTGACTGTCTAGATGGTGATAATAAATAACCTTTACTGAGTGCTTAGCATATACAAGACACTTGCTTAGTACTTTGTAGCTTTTACTGTACCTGATAACATTTTCTGATGATTGTGCTATTCGTCCATAATCTGCCTCAGTTTGTTGAGTGTCTCTCTGCTTCTTAATGTCTCTAAGACTATAAGATACCCTCAATTATGAAAATCTAGATTTATTTATAAAATCCCATGAGTACCTGCACCGTTGTCCAACAGTTCCAAAACTTCTGTGTTTCCACTGCTTGATTCAATGACAGCAGTCACATTGACTCCAAGAATGGGCACATACCCTTGTCGAACTTCTGCATAAACAACCATGGGGCTGGGGAAGCTGTTTGTGTCTTTATTCATTTTAGCGCTTACTGTGATGGGAGGCACAGCAGAATCTGCTGCCCGAGAAGTTACTGCAATAGTGAGTGTTTCTGAGTTTGCTTTGGCTTGAAGGTTGTAAGTCCAGGTGCCCACCTAAAATGTTCAATGGAAACATATTGAATATCCCTCGTCAAGCTATTTTTTGTGTTTTTATTACACATTTCTAAAATAAATCTTATACAAGGGAGATCAAAATATGGCGAATGTTTAAAGTAAAAAATTATCACAGTAGAAAATACATTGCCATTGATACCTCTCAAGATACTCCTCATTGTTTTGAAAACTTACTCCATTGTTTGCCACTATCTCAAACTTTTCTGGAAGCTCTCTTCCTTGAGTATCTTTAGGAGGTATTGTCAAAAATATGATGAATGCTGCTAAAAACATTATGGGATGTCCTCTCTTACTTATTCACTGGATCTTGTACAGTAGAACTTCTGACTTTTCTCCAAAGTCAAAATGACCATGAAAGGTAAATGTTTTGAATCAATTAAAGACATCAAGGTAGCCATGATAGCACATGTAAAGGCACTCGTGAAGTATTTGTAGAACCAATAGACTTTTGAGGGATTGTACAGCATACCATCGATGAGAGCTGAAGCAATTTTGTCATAGAACCTCAAGTAGTGTTGTGCATCGTCATGCATTTGTGGTGGGAAATAACTGTTTGAAAAGTGACCTTGATTTAGACCGTTATTCTTTGACCTCACAGTCAACTATTATATAATTCTGATTGGGGTTAATTAGGAAGGATATTTTAAAAAATAATTAAAGAGCCAAATAAACGACCAGATAGGAAATAGGAAGATAGATCTTTGCCAAAGGGAAGGGGATTAAGAGATAGAGGGAGGGAGAGAGAAGGGAGGGGAAGGGCATAAAAAATGAATTAAAATGTGTTATGCACATGTACCAACTCCCCATGATAAATGTAGTCATTAAGTACTGCACACTGTACCAAAAAAATTAAAAATTAAAAAAACTGAATAAGCTAGGTGTGGTGGTGCCCCTCTGTAATCCCAGCACTCGGAAGGCTGAGGCAGGAGGATTGATGTGAGTTTGAGGCCAGCCTGGGTTACATAAGTGAGTTTAAGGCCAGCCTGTACTACATAGTGAGATCTTGTCTCAATAAAATAAAACAATACAAAAATTGAATAAAGAAGGATATTTAGCTAGATGTTCAAAAGATTCTCTCCAGGTTTATTCTTCAAAATTCTTCTCAGGTAACCTGTGTTTTACCCATTTCTCTCTTCTTATTTTACTCACATTATTTCTTTCTGCCTCCTATCAAATTCTTAGGATAACATATAAATAAAAAGAATATTCCATTTTATTACAGTTTTGAGCATGGTACAATTCTTGGCACCCAAGTATTTAAAAATATTATTTATGACCTTAAACAATGTATTTTTATGTCCTGAAAATTCTTTTTAAAAAAATCTAGAAGCTGATTGCTTACCGGTGCTGTTCCTGAAATACTGAGATAGGCCATTCTGGAAGCAGTGTCCTCTGTTAAACCTCCTACCAGTTTTCCACTAGGAGCCCAGACAGAAATGCTGGGAGTTTGTTTGTCCCACGTGATGGAAAAGAACGTGTCTTTTCCCAGGGTGCTATCAACGATCACAGTGCCATTCATCCAGGCTTCATTGTTCAGGGTTAATCTCTTACTTTCAAGCTGTTTAAACACATTTTAAAAGTTAATGACTGCAGAAGGAAATAATTTCATTCTTTTATCTTTTAAAGATTGTTTTTAATATCTGACCTGAGAGCAAGCTTACATGTGACATACCACCTTAGGCCTGTGATCTCTCTGAAAACTTATTGAGACTTGAGAGTAGTCACAAAGTGTAGAAACACAGGACCTAAGTGAAGGACAGTGTAATAAAAAGAACACCTTTGTGCAGATGAATGGGTTTTACAGTTGATAATATAGTCCTACTATTATTTCACAGTCATCTCAGCAAACACCCACTCAAAGCTTTAGCATTAAAGGGTGCTACCCCTATAGAAAAGAATTAACTGTAGACATCTTTAAAGGCAAATATGGCAGAGTGATGAATATGAAAGTTGGAATCTGTAGAAACAAAAAAAGTGAGAAATAGAATTTTTCTCTGCGAGACATTAAAGTTTTTTTTTCTGAAAAAAACTTTATATAAAATAGTGGGTTTCACCTGTAGATGTATATGACATATTTTGATCATTTTTCACCTCCTCACTACCCCTCTTCATTTCCTGCCTCACCTGCTGATCCCCTTCCTCTTCTCTAATAAACTTCCTACTTGGATGTTATCTCTCCTCTTTTTAAAACTTTTTTCAAAGGAAGAGATTTTCAAAATCTTCGCATATAATTCTCAGTCAGGAACAGCTAACTTTATTCATTGACAAAGAAGATGCTTCCTGGAATGGTGTCATTTCAGGAGCAATGGGAAGCCTCAGTTTTTTTTCTCAACCCTGTTCTAAATCTATCTTGACTCCAGCTCTGCAGTGAATTCCACTGTTCAAATACTGCTGCTTTGACAAAAATTCTGGTCTTCCACAAAGTCTTTGAGTGGACAAAGTATTGTTATCAGAGTAAGCATGACTAATTTTTTTAGACACTTATCAGGAAAGATTGATAAAGTAAGTGGCTTTGTCTGGTTCTAGGGAAAGACAGTACAGTGAAGCGTGGAAAGCAAACTTGTCCTATAATGCACTGCCGACATCCATGTTAAAGTTCTCCTCAATTTGTGTAAGTTATGGTAACAGCTATCTATTTGGGCATTGTATTTCTCCACATCCTACCTATCATGTATACAAATCAAAATTAATCTTGAAAAATTTGTTATTTTCTGATTTAAGAGCCGATCAAGAGCATTACAAAGGAAAGCAACTGAACTTTTCTTCTGATTCCTTTTGCTACTTTTAAGAACTCCATTCTTAAAACTTTTAGCACCTTCTCTGTGCAAATGTCTCCTTTCTAGCTGACTTTGCATATTCTGCACTTGCACTTTTAACTTCATCTGAAGACTCCATGTGAATGTCACATCAGCCAGCCAAAGTTAGTAACAGTAAAAGAGAACCTAAAACAATATCTTAAAAATCAGTTCTATCTTCCTCTTCTTAATTTCAGACAACATCATCGTTCTTTCATTATCCAAGCGAAAACCTCAGAAATAATCTCTTCATTCCTTCAATTTTACCTCCAGGGACATCCATGTAGGTCTTTTAGAATAATTTGTAGAACAGTTTTCAGGGTAAATCTATAGACATATGTCTGAAACCACCTCTGCATATTCAAAATGTGTCTTAAAACATCTGCTTTCTTCATTGATGAGGAATACAAGAAAATAGGTTTAGTTGGGTTATCATGACAAATTTTAATGTAGACCATGATTTGATGAATTGGAAGATAAAATACATAAGTCTTGGCAAGAAAATGACATAATTTTGGCTGAGTAGAAGTGGATATGATGAGAAAACATATTTTGAAGGAAACTGTACTGATATTGAACATATCATATATGTGACATATCATAATGTTTACTCAGTTTTTAAATCAAGTAACAGACAATGATGGTGCTGTTGACACACATGCTCAGAAAAGGAGTGGGATTTAGAATAAGAAATAAAGAGCTAGTTGAAAGAATAAAGAGACAAACTATCATCAGAGATAAGCAATGTTTGTTAACTCTTATTTCTGCTCAATTTTTTTCCATTTCCAACCTATGTTTTTGAGTTCATTTGACTGTATTTCACAATTGTCAAAGAGTGTGGTAGGGAGAGGACTAGGAAGTAGGACACTTTTTAAGTGAATTTCTAGAATAATAGTGGTATATCATTTGACAAAATCTAACTTTGTAAAGTTTGACCTAACATTATTAGGTTTTGATATTTTGTAATCCAAACATTATAAGAAAAATAATTAATGTTATCTGTTACTGTTATTTCATCTTACTTCATTAGAGTAAACAGACAGACTAGAAATTCATGATCTTCTTATGTTTTTTATGGTACCAAACATTTAAGATTTTATAACAAGTCACCAGGAATTTTAGATAGAGATGTCACGTGGTTTCATATTTCAAATGAGAAACCAACAAACTGAAAGCTTGAGAGATTTTCCCTTTTCTCCGAATTCATATTATACCTTACTCTACCAGTTTTATTATTTAAAAATCTGGTAAAGTTCAGAAGATAATTCCTGAGTTATCCATCCAAATAGAAGTTAAAGATAAAAAAGAACTTAAAACGTATAGCTATCAAATTTTATTTCTTATCTATTTCTAAGTGCATAGATGAAAACCCAAGGAGTGAAACTCTGACCTGAAAGGACATTTGGGAGGGACCAGCATTCCCTGACTCGAAGGTCCTGAAAGCATCAGTGAAGCTGCTCCTGTAGGCTTGATCTGAAGCATAATAATGATTTCCTCCTAAAATGTAAATTCATTAGCAAAGCCACTTTCTTAAAAGATAGGCATTTATCACATTTTAATGATTTAGAAGGTAACAATATAAACAAAACCACAGCTTTGGTATTAAAATAGAAAAATCTGAAATTAGATAGGTACAAAGATGAACTCAATTTTAATTCGGAAATGCTGTAATTAGGAAGTTACCTCAGTACCTTACTATCTGGAAATTTTAGTCAACTGAAGTACATCAAATAACCATAGAATTCTAAAAAGACATTACAGTTCCACATACTAAAGCTTGAAGTCTTTACGCAGTCCTTTAAGAGAACTATTCACTTTTATTTAAGTTATGATCCCAGTAGTACTGACTTTCAGTTTTCCAGTCAAGCTCAGAATCAGAAAACTATAAAAAATTAGAGAGCTTCTGTATTCAATTATCTGGAGAGTACCTGCCACCAAGGAGATAGAAAAATGACAAATAGTAGAAAGACACCCCCAAATTTACTAATTTTATGGAGCTACTGTGTCAGAAATAATTTTTTTTTTTTGTACTGGGAATCGAACTCAGGACCTTGAGCTTGCCAGGCAGGCACTTATGCCACTGAGCTGTATTCCCTGCCCAGAAATAAATTTTAAAGTGACCCTAAAAAACATTTTTTTTTTTACAAAAAATGAAAGTTTGTGCAAATATGCATTTATAAAATAATTATATATTTGGTATATTTAGAAGCCTACTTAATGCAACAATTGATATGTTGTAAATTATGCATTCTTTACTAGTTCAGAAACTGTCTCTGAGTCTAAAGTAACAGCTATCATGGTTAATGTTTACCTGGAAATGCCACTATTAATTAGATCTTTTCAGTCTGAGTTTCTGTCAGCCGTATCCTACCTTATCCAGTGGTGGTGAACCTGTGGCATATGTGCTCTGCAGGGGGCTGTTTATTATCATTGAAAGCTCTACAGTTTAGCCATCAGTGGGCTTATTTTGTGGTCTCATGGATGGGATTCTTGCTCTGGTCTCATGGGCATATCATTCCCTCTATATGCCTTGCACTGTTACTATAACATATTTTTTCCCCCTTCATGACCTGGTAACCTTCTCTCACCCTTTTCCTAAAAGAAATTCACACCTTCAAGTCCCAGCTTAGAAATCACCATATCTCTGATGCCTTCTTTCCCTTACTCTATACAATTGTGGAAAAATTGATGGTTTCCTCTGCTCACATTCAACTTTTTTCTTATATGCAATATTCCTCCTGTAAAGGAATTTTGTTTCATTATTTTATTATGTGATTAGCAATTTTATTTGTTTTTTTTTTCAGCTTATGGAACTCTGGACACCATGAAAATAGAGAGGACCTACACAGGAGCAGGTTAGGAAAATTCATCGGGCTCTGTATTTATGCATTGCCATCAAAGGACTAGAATATATAGATCATAATTTACCTGTTGCACTGCTCATCACGCTTAGTATGACATCAGCAGATGGCCCCAAAGCAACGGAATGAACGATGGCCCCACTTTGTATCACTCTATCCACACAAGAGCTTGCACTTTTATTCTCCCCAGCAGTTACCAATATTATTTCAGATCCCTCTGTTTGATGATGTTTTTCTCTAATTACCTGCAAACAAAATTCAGGACTTTAACTACCAGTTGTTCCTAGACTGAATGGACTATGAGGAGTTAGAAAAAAATTAGGGAAAATAAAACTGTATGTGCTTGTCCCTGTGCTTTTAAAAATGTTAAAACATGCAGAAAGTATATGCAGTAGCAATTAACATAGAAATGTCCTTAAAAATTAAGAAAGATAAGCTATGTCTGCAGAACAATTTTTACCTGAAGAGCAGATTCAATTCCAGAGCAGATAGAAATTCCTCCTGAAGCTTCTGTAGGTAAGCACTCTAGGAGTTTTCTTCTTTCACTGTAGCTTGTTATTTGGACTAGCTTACTTTTGATGTGGGTGGTACTATCATACTCAACTATTCCCACCCAGGATCCATTTTCAATAGTTTGAAGCAGGAAAGTTTTAGCTGCTTGGTTCATTCGATATAGCCGGTTAAAATCCTAAATAGTGAATTACAAGGAAACAAACCAAATAGATTTGGCTGCAGGGTAACAGCAGATCATATAAAGTATGGTAAGACTTTTGTATAAACAGTAATTAGTTTTATTAAAGGAAGCAATATATTATGGAACACACATAGTTTAGCAAGGAGCTCAAGCTTTTGCTAGAGATGACTCTTGGCTGCTAAGTACTCAAATTAGTAATAAGGATAGAAGGAAGAGTGGGTTGGAATTGGGAAGTGATAATTCAGTTTTAGAGACTCTATATAATCACTCCTTAAAACTTCTGTGCTGGTTAGCTCAAGAGAAAACTACCCCAGAGCCCATAGAATAAATCTAGACTGTTCCATCACTTGGGGAGCAGAAACTTCCAAGACCTGGAGATGAATCCTAAGAGACACAGTTATTGGCTCTGAATCATTATAACTTTCTAATCTCTTTCATTTGCTGAAGAATTTATTTTTTGGCTACCAGCATGCTCTGTTGTACCTCAGCTGTGCCATCACTCTGGATGCTTTAGTACATTACATCTGCTTGTTTTAAATCCATTTATTTCAGTAATTATTTATTGATCATCCCTATGTGATGAACGTTGGTCTAGGCCATGGAGATTCAAATATGCATTAAAATTTAAATTTCTGGAGAATCCCTCAATCTAGCAGGGATAGACACGTGCTTGCAGCCTAGTGAGACAGTGGTGTGAGATGCAACAACAACATAATATACGGTAATAGCAGGTAGGCATAGCTCATTGTGGAGACCAGCAGAAGGACCTTACCCAACCTGGAAGCCCAGCTCATCTCCTCCTGAAGGACGTGGATCCTTTTACCAAATTTTGAAGGATTTTTCATAGGTAACTAGTTAATGAGGAAAGAGTTCAGTAAATGTTCTCTATTTAGCTTTATACAGGTGCTCCTTCTTTAATGCTGAATTCAGTTCCTGTGTGCGATTAGGTTGTTACGTGAATTAGTCACTAAATGAAGACTTGTATATAGCATGTACAATATTCAGAAGAAAGAAATGGCCAAAGGAAACTTAAACGTTATGACTTTGCTTTTATTTGCATAATTTATATGTGTTACTGTGATGTATAACTGTTATGGTTGATACGTTGTGTCAACTTGAGGAGTTTAGAAGCTTAACTAAGTAACTCAGCAGTTCTACATCCTGGGGTGAAAAGGACATGCCCTTACTACTCTAGGATGTTGTTCATTGTGTCAACCTGAGAAATTTAAAAGTTCAGCTAAGTGATTCAGCAGGGGGCCAGGATCCGTCCTTTGTAAACATTGTCAGCTTGTGGAAGAGGAGAACATGGAGATGGTGTGGGCATGGATGAATAGCCAGTATACAATATAATGGAGGAAAAGAGGATTGTTTGTCCCCCCGCTTGTGGTCTTGTTCCTTTTGCTGTCTTCTGTCACTTTGAACTGTTGCCCTCTGCCATGTGCCACCCTGTCTTAGAGCCAGCTGATTAGGGACTGAAACCTCCACAAACTGTGAGCTGAATAAACCTTTCCTACCTCAATTTTGGGCATCAGGTATTTTGTCCCAGCAATAAGAGAAAAATAACCAAGACAGAATTTAGTACCTGAGGAGTGGAGTCATTGCTGTGACTGTACCTGACCTTGTTGTTCAAGAGCCTTGGGAATCGCATATGGGAAGAGTTTGGAAAGGTTCAGAGATGTCATCTGAAAGAGTAGTGCTGGGATGCCTTACACTGTTCTGTATAGGAGACTCTGGTGAGAGCTTGGAAGACCAGAAGTCTGATAGAAATCCTGATGGTAAAGACCAGGCTTGGGAGGCTTCTGCTGGGAAGAAGTACTGTATTGGGTGCTGGACTCCAGATGATGTATGTTATGGCTTGGCAGAAAGTTTGTCTGCATTTTGCTCATGTGCAGAGACTTTGCCTGAGACTGAGATTAAAGTTGGCAGACTAATTAATCTGGCAGAACTTTCAAGGCAGTTGAATGTTGAGGCTGTGGCATGGCTATTGTTGAAGGCTTTTAGCCAGAACTATGTTGAGAATCAAGAGCAAGAGCCCAGCAGAATGACTTAAAATGTTAGTTTGGTCAGATGGAAACCTCCAGTAAAGCTGTGAACTACAAAGATAGAGTTGAGATCTCCATTGCTGAGAAGGAGCAGAAGAATAGAAAAGATGGCCTGAGAGCATCATAAGCAGCAAGTCTCCACCCTTTGCAGCCTCAAAACTGCAGCAGTGAAAGACTTTGCTTTAAGGAGAAAGCCACAGAGTATCACATTCCAGAATGGTGACAGCTGAACCATGTTCTAGAATGACAGCAGCATAGAAAATTTGTTCCTCAGAACTGGATTCAGAGTGCCCAGCAATCCAGGCACTTGACTTCTACAGCCAAGTGAGAAGAAAGCCTGGCTCCTGCTCCAGGTGGCAGCAGACCTTGGCATCATCCACAAGGTGCTGGTTTTATTTTATTTTATTTTTTGGTACTGGGAATTGAACTCAGGACCTTGCACTAGCCAGGCAGGTGCTGTGCCACTGAGATATATCCCCAACCCAAAATCTATGACTTTTTTTTGTACCTGGAATCAAACTCAGGACCTTGCGCTTGCTAGGCAGACGCTGTGCTGCAGAGCTAAATCCCCAGCCCTTGGTGCTGGTTCATGTAGAATTCAAAGGTTCATGTAGAATGCAAAGGTTCTGAGGTCACAAATGTTTCACTTTCATTTTAGAAGGCCTGGGAGGCCAGGGAGTGTGCCCATGAGAGAGCAATGTGTGAAGCTGTGAGTGATAAGCCTAAAGTGCAGTGGAGACCGCAGAAGTTTGGAAAAGCCAGGAACATGGATCATCTAAGGAAAGTGGCAAGGATTGAGCAGAGTGGGCCTAAGAGAGAAGCTGTTGGAGATATAACCACCAGAAGTGTCAAAGGGGTGAGGTTGTGCAAGCCCTTTTGAGCTCACAATGTGCCACAGATTTCTTCATATGCTGGACATGGAAATATAGGACTTAGTGTTTGCCCTGCTGGATTTTGGACTTGCGTTGGTCCTATTCCTTTACATTGCCCTGTTTGTAACTTTTGGAATGAAAATGTTTATTTTGTTCCACTGAATGTTGGAAATGTTTAACTTTTTATTTGTCCAGGGACTTGTAACTAAAGAGTTTGACCTACATCTCTGAGGAGACTTGGGGCTTCGACTTTTCAGCAATGCTGAAACTGTTAGGACTTTGGAAACTTGCAGATGGACTAAATGCCTTTTGCATAAAGGGATGTGCATGAGTTTCTGGGGGGTCAGGAGCAAAACGTTGTGGTTCTAATGTAATATAATGTTGATAGACTTAATACTGGTTCTTAAGGATTGTTAAACCTGTGTTGTAATGTTCAAGTTGTGAAATGATAAGAATAATGTTTATAATATCTGAAAACTGGTTTAAAGAAATGTCTGTAGTTGCCAAGCTGACAAGGGGTGGATTGTTATGGTTGATACGTTGTGTCAACTTGAGGAGTCTAGAAGCTTAACTAAGTAACTCAGCAGTTCTACATCCTGGGGTGAAAAGACATGGCCTTGCTGCTCTAGGATGTTGTTCATTGTGTCAACCTGAGAAGTTTAAAAGTTCAGCTAAGTGATTCAGAATGGGGCCAGGGTCTGTCCTTTGTAAACATCATCAGCTTGTGGAAGAGAAAGGCACAGAGGTGATATGGGAATGGGCAGATAGCTGATGTACAACATAATGGAGGAAAAGAGGCTTGCTAGCCCCACGTCCCCTTGTGCTCTTCTTGCTTTTGCTGTTTTCTGCCGTCTTGGTCTTTTGCCCCTGTGCCATGCTACCCTGTCTTGGAGCCAGCTGATTATGGACTGAAACCTCCACAAACTGTGAGCTAAATAAACCTTTCCTTCCTTAATTTTGGGCACTAGGTATTTTTGTCCCAGCAATGAAAAAAAAGTAACCAAGACAATAACAAAACATAAAACTACAGTACTATACTGTGCAGTAAAATCATCAAAAATTACAGTACTATACTGTAGGAGAAGCCACCATAAAGCTCCAGCGACACTCATGTTCCTGCCACCTACATCCAAATGCAGGTCGTAGGTCTGAGTAGGGGGTTGTAAATCTGTACAGTGCACCTCTGTTGTAAGTCTGAACAGTTGTTAAACAGATAGGTCATTAAATGAAGAATATATGTATTCCTCAAACACACGAAACTCTATCTATCCACAAACCCTGGCACAAATGCCTTTTACTCATTGAATTTAGTATAAAAAATTACTGGTTGAATCTGTCCTTCTTCTTGGTGTTGGCTTTTATCTATGTCTCTGACAACAATAAATCATTTGTGTAGGTTATACACATAACATAGAGCTGAACTAAGGGTCCTATTCAACCCTATTCCTTGTCCTAGAATATGGGGTCCAGCAGTCACCAGTAAACTCTATCTTCGTGCTTGTTAAGTGTTTCCAGTAGATGAATAGGGCAAAGTTAGAAAACATGTTCATATTTAAATCTATAGCTCTGATCCTCCAATTTGAGCCCTACTAAGGGCCCCCAAATCACCACAATAAGCCCTCCACTTTCTGGGAAAAACTGCAACACATTAGATGGGTCTGTTTAACTCTGCTGGTGTTCTTTCTTCAATACATTTTTCATGGTCCCTTTTGAGGCCCTTCCTTACTGCTGTTGTGTAATTTAGAACCGCCCAGGTTCAGGTAGAGCTGAGGGTTCTTAACTATTCCATCCCATGAAACTTACCTTCATGTTTTCAGACTTATCCAGAACTAAGCACACAGTTCTTTCACTGATTTTCAGCAACGAGAAAGCGGGCAGAGGAGGTGGTGTCACCATAGGTGTGACGCTTTTAAAATCCTCAGACTCTCTGATTACCTCCCATGTACTTCTGAAATTGCACTTTAGGTTTTGTAGAGTTGGAGCTTCTTGGTTATGGTTTTTTTCATTACAAAACTCAACAACCTAGAATAGAAGGTTGATATGATAAATAGATTTTAACTCTATTTTTTTTTTTTTTTAATACTGTGAATCAAACTCAGGACATTGTGCTTGCCAGGCAGGCACTGTGCTGGTGAGCTATACCCTTAGCCCCTATAAAAAAATTTTAAAGTACACTTTATCCATTTAAAAATCTAAGTATAAACCTGAAAGACTAGCAATTTGTTATGCAATTTTATGGCTTACTGAATAAAATATGATTAAATTATTCAGTTGATAGCATAGTAAGGCACGTTTTCAATAATTCTGATAATAATGATAACTATACTGACTACTTACTATTGGCTCCCAGCCAATGTTAAAAAACTCTTTATTATTAATATTAATATTTTAAACCTCTTAGGTTACCTAAATAGATATGTTAAAAACATGATAATATGACCTTCGATTATAACTTCTGGAAGCAAATATTGACATACTTACAGAATCAATTTTTGGTGTAAACATTATGGATGCCTTTTCTGTTTGAACTTTATCAGGAAAGAACTGACAATCTTTTTCATAGAGTTTTGTGGTAGAATCTATTCTGCATCTTCTCGTTATACAGCTACCATCTTGACATTTATAAACACTATTTGTACCAAACATACCTATGGAACACCTGAAAATATGTGACAGTTAATAATTGAGGCAACTGTCATTAACTTAAAAAATCTTTACAAGTTTTACTCATGATAACACTAATATCAAGGATATTTATTTATTTATTTATTTATTGAGTTAGGCTCTTACAACATGGCCCAGGTTGGCCTTGAGCTCATAATCCTACTGCCTTAGTCTGCAAGTGCTGGGATTACAGGTATGCAAAGTTTTTTATTCTTATGTGTACTATATACAGTCTATCTTACTAGCAGGTGTTAAAGGTTCCAACTACAGCAAATGTTTGGTATTCAAAAAAATTTGCAGAGGGTTTTTTTTTTTGTAGTACTGTAGAAGAAAAGAAAAAAATATTTTTTCAGTACTGGGGATTGAATCTAGATCCTCGCATTGAGCTACCTTTTAGCCCTTTTTATGTTTTATTTTGTCAGACGGTCTCATGAGGTTGTCCAGGGTGCCCTTTAACTTGCTGTCCTCCTGCCTCATCCTCCCATGTAGCTGGGATGATAGACATATGTCACCATGCCTGGTGACAGAGGCAAATTTTAAATAAGACCAGATATATACAGTACAGTAGCTCAATACCCTTCTGGATTAGCTGTTGTTATCTTGTTTACACTAAGGGCTGTAGGGTTGCCTCTTCCAACATCTCTCCTGATGGCCTTATGTTGGTGCAGGCACTGCAGACATTTGGATGAAGAAATTTTTGAAATCATTTATTCTGGGTACATTGTAAGTTGAAGTGCTCTGTAAATGGGCTATGGCAAGTGTTCTGTTCATTTAAGTAGCACTTTTGTCCAAAGGAAAATGTGACTGGCAGTAATAAGTAAGGTGCTATCAAGAAGAGCAGTAGTGTAAAGAACAAGGAAGTGTTTTAGACTTGTTCTTTGCTGCAGGGAATTGGCCGCAGGTGGCAGTGATTATAGTTAGTATGCCAGGATGTGACTACAGCTCATCTTTTTTCATAGGATTCCAGTTCAAATTCCATGATAATTAGATTTCCTTGTCATTTTGAGAGTCCTCCTAAACACATGTATGCTTTTATTGCTGCAACACGTGGTGAACAGTGATGCTATTTATATGAAAAATCATGATAAATATTCTGCAGCAGAAATTGGGCAATTAGGGGCAATATGATATAAAAGTGTAATCAACATAGTACTTTAAAAAAAAATCCCCTCAAAATGGTGGAATAGAGCAGAGGAATGGCCTTCCTTGAAATCATGTGCCTTTCAGTTTGCACATTAGTGATAATTTCCTTAACCTCAGCAGGGCATGTTGCTCACTTTTAAATGGATTCCCCTCAACCATTTTGATATGTTGATCTCAGAATTAAGAGTATGGTCTATTATTATTAACTGTGATGCTAGACATATGTTTTAAGTCTCCAAGAAGTTGTTATTTGACTTTGTGAAGCTGCTTGATAGCTTAACCAACTCTCATGTAGCAGTACTTAGCCATTATTGTTCGTTCTTGATGTAATGGGAATAACTTTGTAAGTTTTGTTAAGTCCATCTATGTAGTATACAACTCCAGTCTAAATGATTTTTGGCAGCCATGGTAAACAGGTTTAAGATACATTAAATTGTCTGTTGAATGCTCTTAAAATTATGTGTATCTTAAGAAGACAATATATTTTTTCTGATGTAGAATCCATTTTCTTCACTGGGACAAAAATAAATTATTGTCATTTGAAAGAAGTCAAAGGAAGAAAAATAAGACCTGTTACAGATTGAACTTATTTAAAAAATTTAGTCATGCCTTGTTGCTTCAATTTTTTTTAATCTGGACATATAGTAAGGCTGATCATTATTGTACTCATCAAACACTCCCCAGCGGAGATGGGCCCACTCGTGGACAAACACTCTACCTGTGGGGAAACAATTCAAGCAGACAGTCACAATTCAGGGGACAAAATTTATCTGTTTTTAAATATTTTGACAATACTTTTATTCTGTCTCAAATATCAATATTTGAAATGACTGCAAGCATCTACATTTTTATAAACAGTATGGTATATTACTTGATAGTACATTATATTATAAAGTACAGTATACTTTTTTTATTCCACACATTAGAGAAACATTTCTAGAGTACTTTCTATGGCCCCCAAATACTAGTTTTTGGGCTATTTAATGTGCTAGCCTTCCAGTTTAGCAACAGTGTTGTTTGTATCATTCATCCTTCCATTTTTCCATTCAGTTTTTTATTTATTATTTTATTCATCCAAATTTTATTGGTCTTTCTTAACTGTGTATGCTTGAATGGATTCCTTCACCTCTCTGTACCTCAAGTTCCCATCCTAAAATATCTTATCAAGAGAATGGTATTGTCTTCAATGAGCAGTGAAAGTTACAGGAAGGAAATACATAAAGGGGAGTTTTTACATTAACAACGAAGAGTGAAATCTGTGGAGGAAAAGGAGATGGAGATAGAGAGGTCAGAAGTACAATCCATTCTGCTACAAGGTATGTTTTTGTGTTACCAGTTCAAACCTAATAGATCTGAAAACAAAATTTTCAGTATTAGGCAGGGTTCATGTTTTACTTTTCTCCCTTTTTACTCACAGTGTTGTGTTTGCCCAGCAAGGTGAGTATGCCCTTCATTATTACAAATGACCATCTCAAGCTCACCTCCCACCTAGGGAATCAGAAGCTGCACATTAACATTCCTACACACACTAAATTATGCTTATGCATGTTCAATTGTAGAAACACTGGCTTATGTTTTCCTAGGCAAAGGCTGCCAAACTATTGGGAATAGAATTATAACCTTCTATACCAACTACTGTACTAGGAATTTAGTGCATTACAGGAAATTTAAAGCTGTCTGAACCTGTTGCTCTCTTCTTTCAGAGTCCACTTTCAGCTCACACTTGCTTGGTTCTCAGCTGATGGCCAGTTGCTCTACTTTTCATCTTACATGCAGCCTTTGTGATTTAGAGCTCCATTCTTGCATACATTGTCTCAGTTCCAACCAGCTCTTCTCTTTCTCTCTTTCTTTCTTTCTTTCTTTCTTTCTTTCTTTCTTTCTTTCTTTCTTTCAACAGAGTCTCACTCTGTTGCCCATGCTGACCTTGAACTCCTGGGCACAAGCAATTCTCTTGTCTTACCCTCCTGACTAGCTGCCTCTGCACTGGGCCCTTTTCACATTTTAAATAGCATTATATATATACATATATTTTTGTGTGTATGTGTATAGGTGTATACACTTTTCACATTTTAAATAGCATTATATATATACATATATTTTTGTGTGTATGTGTATAGGTGTATACACTTTTCACATTTTAAATAGCATTATATATGTATATATATTTGTGTGTGTGTGTGTATAGGTGTATTTTAATACTAACTGTAGCAGTTTGTTGAGTGGCTACCTAAATCCAAACAATTTCATTAACTATTGTTGCTGTTGTCATTGTTATTATTTAAAAATTATATAAATTTCAAAAGATCTTTTTCTAATTCATAGTTGTGCTTTTCAGGCATATTTGAAGAATGTAGAATTTTTCACAATCATGCACATATATAGACATGCCTATCCAAGAGGAAGAGAAGAAAGTGTCAGTTATGGGACAAACCTGAGGTGGGGACAGTGACTTTTGCAATTGGAGAAAATTCTCCTCTTCTAAGTTAGGCAAAGGTCAAGAGAAGTGCTGGTAGATATGAGTTTAAGTGCAGAAAAGTAAAAGGTAAGGGTGTCAGTTTACTCAATCAAGGTATCTGTCAGTAGGAATGAGAAGAGGGCCTAGAGATCTTGGGAAATAGGGATGAAGTTTTAAAAGAGCTGTTACGGGAAAAGGAAAGGGAGCTGAGAAGTTCCAGGTGAAAATATTGTTCAGTAGCTTTGAAGGATTCACAAGTATTAAAAAACATGTGTTTATAATGAAGGCAGTTAGTTTTATAATTTTCTTTAACATACAAGGAAACATATACATGAACCGGAAAAAGGCTGGCTGGGTCATTCAGTACTGTCAGTGTAGTAAGTCAAATAAATGCTAAGCATGAGAGTGGTGCAGAAATTGAGCTATTTGTACTTGTGACTGAAGAGACTGAGTTTGCTGGACATGCTAGGCAGAAAGAAAGAACAGCTAGGAGGGTGCAGGAGATTAGAGGGGCCAAGAATAAAACTGGTCAGGATAAAATATAGGGGCTAGGTAAGATTGGGATGGTTGGATATGAAGCTTTCAAGACTGGAGCAGGGCACCAGTCCAGGAATGATGACAAGGACTGTGTGAGCTTTGGTAGAGATAAGAGACTGTAGGAAAGCTTACTTAACAGAAATTTGGAGGGTGTGATGAGAGAAAGAGAGAGAGAGAGAATTCTGAGGTGTGTGAGTTCATGAAAGTTTTCATTAATAGTGACATTTGAAACTTGGTCTTCCTTTATCAATGATTTAGATTCTTGAGATAATACACATTAGTTCACTTGAACAAATGATCTTAACATTTAGATTATGCTACATTAAACTGTTATTTCTAATAGGTCCAAGTGATCAATTATAGTAATTTCATTTATACAACCAAATAGTTTAAATAATCATATCAGCAACAACCTACAAGGGTTCTCTTGGTCTATAACTTCCATTATTTTTTTTGTTTGTTTGTTTGTTTGTTTTGTTTTGTTTTTCTCCAGTACCGGGAACTGAACTCACGACCTTTCACTTGCCAGGCAGGCGCTTTTGCCGCTGAGCTAAATCCCCAGCCCCTCTTGGTCTATAACTAATATCATAGCTCTTTCCATCTTTCTACACATCTGGTATCCATGAAGCTGGCATGTGACTGATTAATATTCAGCTGTGGAAAGCTGGCAAATAAAAATCTAAAAAATGTGCTCTCAGAAAAGGTTTTATTTCTGTTGAAATTTCCATAGACACTGTAGTGTGTACATTTACCTAAGACTATCTAGTTTAAGATAACAAAAGGTAGAAACCACTACATTCTTGAGACTGAAGGGAATATGCATGAAAAGGGTAGGTTGCTCACATAGCTGATAAGCAGAGGATCCAGGATTTGAACCCATGGACTTAGTCTGAAGTGCATTTATACTTAACTGGGAAGAGGGTTTCTTGTTGCAAGATAAGATGTTTTAACCAAACTTCCTACCTGATGGCCCATATTCATTTTGTTTCTTTCCCAGGACAAAGTCAGGGGTGAAATGAATGTATTCTGCTTTTGCTCCACATTCTGTGAGCTGCTTGGTATATGGTTCATCTTGGCCTGGGAGGGTTGGGGGTGCAACTATGACATCAGCCTGAGCATGTTGAAAAAGATTGTGAAGACATCAGAATTTGAAATGACAGCATTTGTTCTGAAAAACTCTGAAGTAACGAACTGAGGTTAATGTTAGCAAGTATAGAAAACATTTTAAAGAGAAGCCATTGACACTTACCTGTTTGTAGCTCTCGTGTTTTGGCCTCCTGTATTGAGAGTTTTCCTTCCAATTCTTAGGAATTAATATAGACACAGTTTTGAAAAAAAATCTTTTTTCTGTGGCTTCAAACAGGTAAGTAGATGCGGTGGTCACCATGTCCTATGATCAAAGGGAAAAAGTATGTGAGGACTACCAAGTGAGAGTGGACTGAAGGGTAACCTCAGACATTTTCCACCCTCAGAAATTGATACCAAAGCTAATGACTGATGAGCAGGATCTCTGTTCACAATCATAGCCCTACTATGGGTCAATTCCGAGTTACTGCTTCATCCTGGGCATTGAAAGCCATCTCTATAGCCTGTATCAAAAGGCAAGTACCCGGGTATTGTGTAACACAATGAAGGACATGAAATCTGGCCTCATCTGGACTTGGTTCTAACCCTGACTTAACATTTTCTAGCATTAAACTTGACCGGATTATATAACTGTTCTATGTTCACTTTCCTTATCTCTTAAATGGATAATTGCTACTTAGTTTTAAGGTTAATACAGATGTGGAATGATTTGTACAGTGTTGTACCTATAGACATTTTATGGGCCTGTTTATATCATTACCATTTGTACAAAATCTCAAGAGAGGGCAGTCTGAGTTAACGCAAGCTAAGGAGAACAAGCTGCAGAATTTGGTCAGAGGAGAAGCCACTGCAGTGTATACATGACAACAGAGAAGGACAACTGGGTTGGGAGCCTGCGGTTGGATGGTGGGTGCTTGAAAACTTAGAGGTGGACCTTATTTCTCACCAGACAAGCTGAAAAATAATATCTCCTTGTACTGTTCAGTATGCTGAAGCCTAAGGATACAATAATGGTCTATTGATCTGGTCTACATGATCCAACCCAGTGAATATTAGAGAACGTCTTGGTACTAGATGTCAACCTCTTCATCTTCCCTGTCTGCACTACTATTTCTTCAATATAGGTTCTCTTCTTCCATGATGTTTGCTGACCTAACAGAATCCTATAAAAGAACAGTTCTTCTTCAGGAAATTCAAGGCTCTTCCCTGTTTTCTTCAAGATAATTACTTAAATGTGCTGACTCATATTACTGGAAAAGTCAGCAATTTAATTGATTTCAGTATCATAGGATCAGTTAGAAGTCCAGAGTTCAGAGAACTGAAGGTGGAGAGGACTGGCTGAGAGCTAGAAAAATTACTTTAGAGAGTTCCAGAACTAGGCTGGGGTCACTTCATTTCTGACCTAGTTAAGATGGAAGAGCTCTCTGTTCCTAAGGATGCCCCTCCTGTTTTCAAATTTAGGAACCTTTATGTCCACCTCACTTTCTTTTGAAGTGATGCTGCGTGTTATGTAATATGGGTATATTTGATTTGAACTGTGGTATCGATTGGAAAGGGGTTGTTATATGATTGTTTGGGGTTGTGTGTTTTACAAGTCCTAGGGATGCCATGTACTTTGCAATCACCACATTGATGTGCTCCCAGGTCATAGAAGGTTTTCACAGACCTTTATCAGATGCCTGATTCCCTAGGGTACATGTAGGTGGCTGGTAATTTTTCTATCTGGCTTTCCAAGCAAAATTCCTAACTATTCCTTCTTAATTCCTCTCAAAATTCCTAGCTGGATCAGAGGAGATTAAGATACCAAAGCTTCCAAAAGTAAATTCTTTCAAACCATAAAGAAATGTGAATATTGGTAATAAAGAACATTAAAACCAAATCTTTTATAATATAGATTATGATCTAATTAATCATAATTTCTATTTAATTAGGTAATACTCCTAGAAGTAAAGATGACAAATTGGCTCACTAATTTTACACAAAACTATTTTTCACATAATATCAGAGCCAGGACCCAAGTGGAACTGGGAGGCAGTGGAACCTTTTAGAGATGGGGTCTGGGGACCCAGCTTTTAACACTGGGACCATTGGAGGATACTTATCTAAACAATAGCAAACTCTAATTGTGCTTGACTATAAACCAGTCATTTAACCTCTATGACCCTAGATTATTTTTCCATAAAATGAGAATCACAATACTTCGCAATGCCACGTGAAATGGTAGGATTCATCGTGTGATTGAGAAATGTCCACTAGCAATTGAATTTGTACTTCTATTCAATAGAGGGCCATTTTAACAAATGCCTCGCCACTGCAAATGATTCTTCCAAATGTGGATTTCTGAAACTGGATTGGTGACCCCTGGACATAAGGAGCCACCATTCAAAATCACCTGTGTTAACTTCTATTCAAGCCTGTATTCTTCATTAGAAGGATTCTTTATCTTCTCCTGGAATTCATAAAGTACCAGTAAGCAACAGTTCTGTGTTGCATTGGTTTCTACAGAATGAATGACACATGACAACCACAGAATCACCTAATCACAAGTCAGTTCATACCCATTAGCTTCTGTCTGGAACACCACCACACAGAAGGGTTTAACAGAGAGTATCAGGACACAGTAGCAACTGAATATAAGGAATTAGTATATATTGATGTTAGGAACAGGAAAAATCATATGATTCCAATAACGTCTCCATAGTATGTAAAATTCTACAGTTAGAAGAAACTAGAAATTCAGAGTCCTTCATTTAAAGTCAGAGCCCTAGGACCTTTTTCTTCTCTGTTAACATTCATGTAGTAGACTCAGTCTATACAATGATGCTTCTTATACTTTTGTCTACATTCAAAAATTTTGATCTAAATTCAAGTTTTGTCTCTATCTTCTTGGCTATCTAATAAGCATCTGAATTCAAAATAACTGACACTACCTTTGATCTCCCAACTTCCAGATAGTCTCCACTTAGTCTTTCCTTCCATTCGATGAAAATTCCATGCTTGCAAGCTTTCAGGCAAAATCTTGAAGTCTTTATGACTCTTACTTCCTACCTTTTTAACCCTTGCAATCTAAACTATCAAGAAATACTGTCTATGATACTCTCAAAGTATATTCAAAATCACTTTAATGGTTTCTACCATGACCTCCATGTTCTAGTCACCATCATTTCTCAGCTGTCCCAGCTCCCTACCTGATCCTTGTACGCTCTGTGTGCAGTGGCATTTGCAAACCCTCCACAGTTGCTTCTGCATGGCAGTCAGAAGCACATGCCTGAGCAGGAGCACATGCCTCCTGCTCAGAACCCTTCCATGGATTCTTATCTCACTCCAAGTAAAAGCCCAAGTCTTCCCAGTGGTCTGGGTGCTGCTTTCTCTTCAGCTTCAGCTTCCACAGCCCTTCCTCCTGCTCATTCACTGTTGATTCCTTAGTCACATCAAGCAGACTCTCACCTCCATGCTGTTCCCATCCTGGAGATTTCCAAGGGGCCCATCTCTCACTCAACCAGGTCTCTGCTGAGATGGCTCATTATCTGTGAGGTCTTTCCTCACTACATGAGAGAATAACTCACATTCTACCCTTATTCCAGCCCTACCACACAACTCATAGCAACTATTTGATATGTTTAACATTTATATATTTTTATTACTGTTAAATGAAATCTACTTGAAGCCATTGGTTCGGACTGAGTTCCTACACTAGGCTCAATAGACTGAACCAAAATGGAGTAACAAATGCTAAAGTTCCATGCCACCAAGCTGAAACTAAATTACCTTCAAGGAATCAAGACAGACAGACACAGAGACAGAGACAGAAAGAGAAAATCCCCAAACATGTTGTTTGTAGTTGATATAATAAGGAAGTCACATGTGCTTGAACATTCAAAGGAAAGTAACTTTGAAATGTCCAATTCACTTCTTTTGTGTCTGCTTTCTTTAGACCTTTTATTTTTTTAGTCTATAAAACCAATGTACTTTGCTCAGCTTATTGCAATGTTCACTATTTTATAGAGCGAGGTATTTCCTGATTCTAGAATCATGATTAAAAGCCCATTAAGATCTTTAATGTAAACCTGTTGTAATTTATAACAGTACAGTTGGTGACTCATGAAGTGTCCAGAAAGACATGGTGATGACTCTCAAGACCTCTAGAGGAATGCAGGAGGTCAATACTGCTGACCCATTTGAGGTCTTCTTTTCTCCTTATTGAGACCCGTGGATTGTAAATAAATTTCTCTTGGATTGAACTCTATTCTTTCTTTTTGTTCTCCACTTCCCTCACCCATGTTTTGACTTTTGAATCAGGCTTAGTTTTTGTTGTAAGAGTAAATAACCTTGGGGTGTATCCTAACGGAAGTTTGTTCTGTAGGAATGTATATGACATTTTGAGGTTTGCAGTGACAGCAAAAAAAAAAAAAAAAAAAGTAGAGACAGAAACAAGACTGGGTTCTGAAGAGAGGCCTCAGATATCTGGCTGGATCATATAGTAAATAGCAATTACTGCAGGGAATGTGAACTTCAACCTGTGGAAATCCACAGGGTTTTTTTTTTGGTTCTATTTTCTTTTTCCTGTTTGCTTATGTGAGGGAGAACATTGACTGGGTTGGTCAAAGGGATCTATCTCAGAGACAAAATGGTAATTTGACTGGTGGGCACTGAAGAGCTATTGGAGTACTCACCAACAATAATTAAGACTCCCAGGAGAGGACAGGATGGTCATGGAAATGGGTTAGTTGGCATTAGTTCAACCACCAACCTCTAGAAAATGCGGATGCAACAAGGTGCACTTGTGAAATGCATCGCATGACCTGACTCTATGGTGTTTTCCTCTTAGTCCTTTATTGTAATAGTGGTAATGGCAACCCCCTGTGTCTTATGCTACCCTATTTTAGATTAGCTCTACTTTACAAGTTTCCCCTTGCAAAATTAGTGCTTGTTCTTCCTCTTTACCTCCATGTTGTAAATTCTAAAGAAAACCACCTTTATGTGACTGAGACACTAACTGTTGGAGTCAACTACACTATTGCAGGAAAAGCAGCTAGATAAATGTCTGTCTCACAAACCCGTAATCAGTTATTAGGCCCCAGGAGCTGTAAGTATTTATAAATATGGCAGTATCTTACTAAAGACAATTTAGGATTATAGTGGGTTATGTGAAATGTTCCACATAAACAATACTGTATGAAGTATACTTAAAAATGGTCAGTCAAATTATCACCACTAATCGATATTTTAAAACTCCTAAAATGATTTAAGAAAAAATTTTATTGCTTTGTTAAAAAGACTCTTTACAAGCTTGCTTTGATAATTTTTGACACAAAATGAGGCTGACTATGAAACAAAAATAGTGCTTCTTGAGAAAAACTTTAGTACCTCTGTTACCAGCTTGCAGCCCTATTCATTGTTTTCAGATTGTTGCTATCACCTTATAGACTGGCCTGGATCCTGAATTTTTCTAGTTTTTGCAGTATTTAGCTTAACCTTCTCTGCTCAGCTCATCAGAACAATCATTGCATTTTAAAGAACAATGTTGCCTGATTTTAGAATTAAAAAAAGCAAATTGTGATCTTTATACTAAATTTGTTGTAATTCGTAATTTTGTCTTTCTATATTAACTACATCATCTACAAAAAATATATACTGCTGGGTATAGTGATGCATGCTTTGTAATCCCAGCACTTGGGAAGCTGAGGCAGGAGGATTATTAAGACTTTAAGGCCAGCCTGGGCTATATAGTGAGTTCAAGGCCCACCTGAACTATGCAGCAAAACCTTGTCTTCAAAACAAAACAAAACAAAACAAAACAAAACAGTCTCTATATCTATGTCTATCTATATCATCTATCTATCCGTATCTATATTCTGCATGGAGGGGCTTTCTCCCTTTGTCTATTTACTTCTCTTTACTCCAGCATGCCACAAACATTCAAAAAATAATTATTTAAACAATGTAATATTACATGGTTTCTTTTATACAAGAAACTTAGTATAAATAAATTAATGTAAAATAAAAGCTAGCTAATAGATAATAAAAGAAAAATAAAGGGTACATATTTTGCAAATGGCAAGAGGTCTAAGAGACAGATGGAGAAGGGAGGGAGAGGAGAAGTAAAAAGAATTAAGATGAGCTATGCACGTGTACCAACACCCTCCAATGAATGTAATCATTCTGTCTTGCAGTGATATACTAAAAAATTCCAAATTAAAAAAAATTGAGTCCAAGAGCTTATTTACAGATGAGGGAACTGAGGCTCATGGACACCTTGGGCCTGGTCTTTGATCTTGTAGTGGGACAGTGGGGGCCCTGTGCAGGACTCCATCTCTCTCTGCCCCTCCAGCCCGGTCCTTGCTGCACTATGCTGCTTCTAAACTTCCTGCAGCGGCCCTACAGATCGATTTCCACAAAAATCATTTGCTACTAATTTTGTTCTCCACTATTCAAGAAGTTCCATATTACCTTTATTTGTTCAATTATTTCTCCATCTTCTGGCACACCAGGATCTATAGCAACGATGACGTCTTCATAGCCGTTGTCCTTCAGCTGCACTAGGGAAGCGCTCGAGCCCTGCAGCAGGTGTAGGACTAAGAGGGAAGCAAGGGCTCTGAGTAACGTCATCACTCCTCTCTAGTCCTTCTCGTTTGAATGGTGGTTTGTCAAGTTCTTCTTTCACCTTTTCTTGGCTTTTTCTCATACTCATAAATATCATATCAGCATGGGCTGATTATAGGATATTGACTGAATAAAGGTCAACCTTACATATGTCAGAAAGCACATATCTTCAGTTTACACAGTTGTTTTATTGTACCTCATTATAAAAGGGATGAAGCATAGTAAAAATCAGAACTTTTCATAAAACACGCTACATTTGTTATGGAACACAATTCATTATATTTTTTCTTTTTCAGTTGTAGCAGGTTGTTAGATAACTCTTATAAAATATAATATTTATACTATTA